ACTACAAGCGAACAACATTTGAAATATTGTAGGAAGGCGTATGAAGGAAGGGGCGACAGAATTAAGCTTGGCAAAAGTACTACTTCCCGGCCTTGCTTTCATGCTCAAGTCTTGCTTAAGTTAAAGTTCAGCTCAAAGCCTCTAGAAGTAGATTGAGTGATAAAGTAATAGAGATGCTTCAGATATGACAAACTGATATATGTTCCGCCAAGGAGGGAATATTATCTGAACCAACAGCTCATAAAACATGTTTATTACCCACACGATGAGTGAAGTTATCCCATAACGACTGTTGAAGTAACAGTTTACTTAATAAGTAATTTGCTTGTCCCACTGGAAAATATATCTTCAGTATAACAGTTAAACAATAAGACTCAACTGTCTGTAAACTTTTCAGGATTGCACTCACTGAGATCTTCTGGGTTGGCACGTAAGAGATCTTTAGGTTGTTGTTATCTCACTCATTAAGAGTAAAATATATTAACGATAAAGAAAATTAAAATATCTCTGTAAAACGTGTTTAGATTTATTTAAAATATCAAACAATTTTTTTCTGTAATATGCGAAGTACTAAAAAAATTTCATGTCTGTTTTTAATTTTGAACAACCAAATATCTCACCATTTCTGACATATGAGGGAAGGGGAAGAGGTTGCTTTAGAGGCAAAACTAAATCTATTCTAGCTAGAGTGCGATGGTGGAGAAACATTCCGTGGATCTGCTAAGCAATGAATTTTCGTCGAGGCCGGATTCGAACCGTTATTGCCATACTCGAGAATGTTAAAATAAGCAACGCTCGTAGACACTCGCCCATTACAACCTCGCTTTTGTTTATCTAATCAATATCTTTTAAATTTATTGTAGACTATAATAGATAGCAATATTTTTTTACTGGCTGCAAGTATTTATAGACATCTGTAATGACGGAGACAATCAGCAGATTTGTAGCGTTAAATTGAATGATTGGCATTACAGGTACGAGGAGAGAAGCAAGATTTTAATTTTGCAATACCTATCCGATGTATCATAAGCATTCCATACAACCGTGGTACTTGGGAAGATTAAGGAAATGGTGTGTGTAACCTTTTAAACGGCTAATGTTAAGCGTTAAACTGATTAAATATCCAAATAATCCATTCAGTTCACTTCATCCATATCAAGTTCTTCACAAACGATACGATGATTTGCACGAATGGACTTATCACCTTAATCCTCTAGCCTAGTCTTAATTAGTATTGCCCAAATGCGAGATCGAGACGAGTCTTGGTCTTGCAAACTCAGTCTTGGTTATGGTCTTGGTTTTGCGCATGAGTCTCGTAACAGTCTTGCAGTTACTTATTAGCTTATTACTATAGAGATATTACTGTAATTTTTTAGATAGGAAAAACCCAACTAAGCCTGAATGAAAAATTAGAGTATTTCAATGCAAAAGTATATTGGTGACACCAATTATTAACAAATAGTAACTAAGATTGTCGAGTATTAATAACTATTTTGTCTTAATTTTTATTTTAAAAAATCGATTTTTTTTCACCAGACCTGGTCTTGGTCTTGCAAAGTTCAATGTGCAAGACCAAGACCGATTTTGGGCAACACTAGTCTTAATGTTAGCCTCGAAATATTTTTAACGCGAATTGTCTGACGAATTTAAGGATCGAAATTTTATATTTACGTTACCTGACATAGACAGCCTACGGTTTTTATAAATAATAAAAAATATATAAATTGAGGTTGCAGTATAAAGGAGATTAATAAATATTACATATTAAACCATGCTTTAATAAAGTTTATTAATAATAAACCGCATCAGTTTCTAATAATGAGGTTAATGGAATATTTTTTACGACTATAACTGCGAACCAAATATGAGTGAGTATGAGATATTAAATGGAACTATTGTTAGTTGTTTTATGCAAATTTTATAGTGAAAATTCGTTTCTGTAAAATATTAATATAAACTAAATATTATTTTAATTAATTTTTTTATGGCGTAAAATTAAATTCTGTCACAATATAAGGCATTGTTAATAGTGAGAAAAGGATTTATAAATGTTATAAACTTAAAAAAAAAATGGGTTTAAACTTTTCATCAAATGATGTCGATTTTTTTCTCAAGGGTTCACAGAGTATAAATAATTATTTTAGACCGAAAACCGATGAAAGCTTATTGAATTGTGTTGTTACAGCCAGAGAGGCCTGATATAAATTTGTAAGCCGCTCTTAGATACCCAGCAGAAGCTGCCTGGCCTGGTAATAGAATTAGCAGAGGCCAGGTACACGCGAAGGCTATCTCATCTGATAGCGCGCTGGAAATGGCAGCCTGCCCTGGAGTTTGTCCTGTCTTCCAGCGAGCTCCAGCTGCTAGCGACCTTCTGAGGCATAATTTCTTGCTTTAGGGGAGTGCTTCTGGAACCAAGACTGGTGGCGCTGACAGGTCATCAATTTAACTAATCAGATAATTATATACAACTTGTCATATTAAATAATACCTAGGGATATTAAAAGATAATTTCTTAATATGCACCTGTCAATATATCTTTGAAAGGTTATTAGAGACAATATCATAGAGAGAAAACGCCGTAAATGTTTAATTACACAAAACAGAAGGCAGACAATTAAATATATTAATTGTAAAAATGTAATTTAAATCTTCTATACTTTAAGAGCGCATATCTTATGCCAAATAAAAACATCATATGTTTGAATATTTAATAGTTGAGCGTTGCATTATAAAGGAAGGAGATGGTTCGGAGTGGCGGTCATAAATAGGCTAAATAGTGGCAAAACTATTTTATTAATAGCCAACTTGAGTTTTAAATGAAACTCATAGCTCAACACACCTCCCTGAAGAATACCTGAAAAATCGGGTCGAAACGTTGGCTTTTAATAAAATAGGTTTACCACTATTTAGTCTATTTATGAACGCCACTCCGGACCATCTCCTTCCTTTATTATATGTTTACATGAGTATGTGTATTTTATAATCAAATCCTTTTTAAATTTTCATTTAGTTCAAAAACATTTACATTTTTTTCAGTATAGCCATCATTTAACAAGGATTACAAAGTTTTTTTTTTAATTTTCATTAAAATGAGGGGTACAGATAAATTTTCGATCAAATGCATCCAATTCTTTTCATATAGTCCAAAGTGCTTCGAATAATAGTTAAAACTCTATAGTATCCAACAATGCTCTTTATCATGATATTAACATCCCATTTATTTTGGAACTTAACTCATTTAAATTTTTCTGAATTCCACCAGAAGCTTATAAGCATCTAAATCCTCTTGCACGATCCGTAGATATCTCCACCCACAGTACTCTCGAAGATTGAAATGGCAGTGGAATCCCAGGAGACATGTCGTCTTCACTTAGCCTTCACTGGCTTTCAATACCGAGGTTGGGGAAGTAGGACCGAAATCTCCCGGAGCTGGTATTACCAATGGAGTGGTGGGGAGAAGGGGTGAAGAGGAGAAAAAATGGTTCGGAGTTCGTCAGGCCTACATATAAGCAGAATGTATATATATATATTATTTATATATAAATATATATATTTATATTTTGTTATATATATAAACTATATTTTGTTTTTCTTAATTTCTAATTTTTCTATTCATGAGATGTATTTCTTTGAAATGTATTTTATTTTATAATTATCTTCGACTTTGAGATATATATATGATTACGTGTAATCACTTAAACATCTTAGGGGACATATGTATATCATTTTTTTTTTTACAATTTATTTCTTTAGAAATCAACAGTTATTTTTATTTATTTTTTTTTATTTTTATATTCCATCACTACAATGCTTTGCCTATAAAATTGATTTTGAGAGAGAGAAATTTTGTAAATATATATATTTTTTTCTTTTTTCTTACGCCTGTTGACTTCGACTTTTTCATCATGAATCTTCTTTAGTAGCATTTGGGACTGTTCTGGGCGACAGTTGTGATCGTTTGGTTATCTCCTCTTCGAGAATATCCAGGAAGCACGTGGTTCACTGACCGGACGCGATCACAATTCACTCCATCTTCTTCATGAACTTTCCTGAAGGTTGGTTAGTAATCTTTCAGCCAGTTTTTTATGGGATAGTGGATTATCAGCTCTGTATCCAACCACGAACCTGAAGTACCAGGAGATATGGAGCAGAATGTATATAAGCATGCCTGTTTATTATTCCTCTCTCCCCTCTCCCCGTAAAAATATTACTTTCATTCGAAAATTTGCCAATTTGCCCTTTTTCCGTACTTCTTAAGTTCAGACTCATGTGTATTTCTTTTAAAATGCATTTCCAGCCATAAGAATACAACAGACTAGATCCTATGTATTTAGATAGAGAGAGAAACACTTTATTTTCATATAAAATATAAACTATATACACTATATACACAGCATACACGTTAATCCGTAGGACAATAAATGAACTTATATATAAATATACAGAGGTGGTTAGTTTATATGAGTATAGTAAATATATACATATATATATATATATATATATATATATATATATATATATATATATATATATATATATATATATCCTTTCATTGTTCATGCCTTTTTTTTTTCTTTCCTTTTTTTTAACATTTATTTATGAAGTAGACCAAGACCAGGAAGAAGTACTGCTGGATACTAATCTTCCTCATGTCTTAAATGCCAAGTTTCTTTACAATGAGATCACACCTGCTTATTGTCAATACTATGACAGGTGTGGATAGAAGTATGAAGAGAGAAAAAAAAATATGAAACAAATATAATAGATATTTTTTCATTAAATAAATACATAAATTAAAACTCTCAGCGTAGCCATGCATAAATTTTATTTCTACAAGCATGTATTCATAGATTAATTGTTTGTTTCGGTTATTGGTTCTTTATTTTACTATTTAGTAAGGAAGTATGAATCACTAGGTTTGCTATAATATGTTGCTTATGACTCAAGGTCCACAGAGCATACTGTATTAAATTGTATATTAAAATAAAGATGGCACTCACCGACTCCGCACTTGTCGAAGTGGTTGGTGGCTGGCAGTTCTGGCCGACAGGAGCAGGCCCCGTTGTCGCAATGGCTGCCCCTGAAGCCGCACTCCTCCGACGAAGTACATCTGTCCCCGAACTTACCCGGCCCTGTGGGCTCCGGCTCTGCAACACAAAGTACCAACTTAAGTAAACACACCAAGTCAAGCATAGATTATTAGTACATAGATTAGTTAGTTAATCTGATAAGAATAAAAATGAAAATCGGATAAGAATATACGAGTATGCCTTATTTTTATAATTTTCCGTGTGTAAAACTCTGGAGTTTAGACCTTTCCTCCAGACACCCTGTAGATTGAGATTCCACATTTTAAATAATAAAAAAGGATACATACATAGCTAAAAAACTGAAATAACAGTTAGTCTCAGATGTGTGGTGGGAACTGGAGGTGTGGCCTTAGTTCATAATGGTATTACTGCCACACAAGATGCTGCCTAAGTGTCTCTCAGCTCTACTTTATAAAGATACATTTGTAAAAGCTAATAAAATAATCGACTAATGAATAGCTGCGTAAGATTTGTGATCAGGGCCCCAAGATACTCCCATGTCTCTCACCACTACGCTGAGTTAAAGTGATTTTTGCCCTCCTTCTGAAGTCAATATTTCCTAGGTATGTTCCTCTACCAAATCATCAACAACCATCGTCCTTCTTACGCCTACAACCTTCTCCAGTTCAAATCCGCAGTCCATTCCCTGTCCACAAGATTTCGACCTTCTAACCTTTACATGCCTTCTCACCGAGCTGCCTCATTCCAAAACTCCTTTATTGCTCGCTCTGTCAATTTCTGGAATTCCCTCCCTATCAAAATTCGACATTCCCCTTCCATATCCACATTCAAAACCCTCCTATTCCAATTCCTATCCCAAAAACAGTCAGATAGTTGTTAAACATTCGACAACATACATTTATTTCATGCCATTCATTGCCAAATATCAATGATAAATGATAATGTATTTATATATTAATCAGGCACTTTATATTGTCAGATTCAGCTTTTTGTTTTCTCAACTTAAACACAAAGCTGATTTTAATAAAGAATTTGATATATTTTTTAATTCTTTATTGTTTTCTTAAAAGTGTATACTGGTCTATCAGTGCAAATAGCTTTAAGTGTCTTGTCATAGTGTTAATAGAGTTGTATATAGTTTCGTTTGTTTTGTATATAGAATGTTTACCTTACATTTTCTTTACATTATTTCTTTTTTTCGATTGATTTTATTTTGGCCAGGTGTAATCTTTTAATTTTGTTCTATTTTGTTAATTATTTGATTCTCAAGGGACTGTGTCCCAGAATAAAGTTATTTTCTATTTATCTATCTATCTAAAATACATTTTAAACAATACACTTTCATTATAAGAGGACATGACGAGAGAAAAACAAAATGATTTCTATCAATATGGTGTGAATATGTTCCCTGACCTCTGTTATATTATATATGTCCTTAATTTAGACAGGATGTAATATTTCTCAATAAATAACGGCAACAAAATTATTATTATTTGATTCCTTTAACATTTTTTTTTTGGAATGAAATAAAATATAAACATTCAAGATAATATAAAGAAATAGGTTTGTAGGGATACAGTTTAGGTGTGAGGGGGAGGAACACAAGAAACCTTGGCCCTTTGGGAACCTAAACTTCACCAGTTACAACCCTCCTCTATTTCCCTATCTAAATATTCAGCTCTCTCCTCCCACTTTGTCTCAAATTCATTATATTGCCAAGAAACTGACCATATTTAATTCAGGTTTTAATTAACAGCCGAAAATAATGAAAAAGTGCTGACTAAGGTATCTTCTCGATCAAAATTATTTGATGCCCCATTTATGAAGATAAAGAAAATACTGACAAAAATCAACAAAAAAAAAAAAAGCCTTATGTCCATCAATTACCATTAAAAATCAATCTTTCAATGGAATATTTTAAGGGAAAAAATCGCATAAATTTGTGCTGCAATAGAAGCCACATTTATTAAGATTCTTGTACCATCACAAGTTTTTTTCAACAGTACTCCGGTTTCTTTCGAACTGAAAGTGATCTCGAAGAACCCCGACGGAGCTCCCTTTTTTTTAGGTTGTAAGCGGGTGTAGAAGGCAACGGGTTTAATATTTCAGTGGGGACAGATGTGATGAAGATAAGATAAAACATTAAATAATAAAAAAGTGCTTACCCTCGTCATCTCTTAGGATCTTTTAGAACAAAATTATTTAAAACTCTATTAATGAAGAAAAAGAAAAGACTGTTAAGATTCGAAAAGAACGCCTTATACCCCTCAAGTACCATTAAAACATTAAGGTTGATAAACATTCAGAAAGCAGTCATTATAAAGTTTATATTGGTTCTGACGTTTCAACCCAAACATGTGGCTCTTCATCAGGACTTGTTTCGAACACTGAAGATATTCAAGTAGTCACAGTCGACTAACTTCCTTCAATAATTACATAATTATCATATAAACGATTTAGGAGTACTTGCATGGAAAAAATATCAGGTATATTTAAGCTGCAGTAAAATGATAAAGAACAGAGGCGTGGCCTAAGGCCATTGTGATGTGAGTATAAAAGGCAGCCAAATACGGTACTTTTAAACCTCTATCAGTCCTACCTTAGCTTTAAGAATGCATTTATAAAAGGAAATAAACTACATTTAAATTAACTATTTTTATTCAGAGACTACTAGTGGAGAGAAAGATATTTCTTGGATGAAAGATTTAAAGATGGAAGCACCAGTACATGGTAATCAGTATAATGGGTGATAGATTTTTATTAAAACATTTCAACCTAAGCTTCTTGGTTATCAACAGAGCTGAAAATGTTTTTTATAACATCAGAGATATAATATAAAATAACAGATAATACTTAATAATGATAAATAGTCATATACACGTAATAATAATAAAATAATAACTAATGTAGAATGTTTTGAGTACATGTTAAGATAGGCATATGGAATACGCAATAAGCTATACAAACTATAAAATAATATATATAATAAATTATTTTATAAATGGAAACATCCAAACAAGTTAAGTATCCGACATACAAGTTAATAGTCAACTTGCCAACGCTTCGCCAATTCAGGTATCATCAGGGCAGAAAAACCAAGATCACATGCATGTAGATAGAAAAAAAACAAGTAAGTAAATAAAAATAGAAAAAAAAAAACGATTGCAAGACATCTCACGATATCCTACTGATATCGATAAACGTACTGCTATGTATTTATACTATTTATTCTACTGCAATATTTTTTTCATTTTTGTTTTTTCTATCTGCATACATGTGATCTTGGTTCTTCTACTCTGATGATGCCTGAGTTTCCGAAACGTTGGCAAGTAACCTATTCACTCGTATGTAGTGTTGCCCAAATGCGAGACCGAGACGAGTCTTGGTCTTGCTCATAGTCTTGGTCTTGCGCAAGAGTCTCGCAACAGTCTTGTAGTTACTTATTAGCTTATTACTATAGAGATATTACTGTATTTTTTTAGATAGGAGAAACCTAACTAAGCACGAATAAAAAATTAGAGGAGTTAAATGCAAAAGTATATTGGTTATACCAATTATTAACATTTAGTTACTGAAATTGTCCAGTATTAGTAACTATTTTGCATTAATTTTTGTTTAACAAATCGATTTTTTTTTACCAGTCCTGATCTTGGACTTGCAACAGTTAGGCAGCATTGGTCTTGGTCTTGCAAAGTGTAAGACCAAGACCGATTTTGAGCAACACCACTCGTATGTTGGAGACTCATGGCTTTGTTGTTTGGATTTTTCTATTTATAACATAATCATCTTATTTCTCTTTTCTAGCTTTATGGTTATTTTAATATATAAAGAATTTAAAATAACTGCAATATTTAGTATTACTAAACATGTTAACAGCACTCATGGTGTATAAGCAGTGGTACTTAGATCTTTCACTATAAATATATACAAATACTAGAAATAAATACTACCTGTTGCATACATAAATTGGATATTGTATTTATTCTATGGTTTGTATTCCATAAACAATAATGTTGCCCGAGACCCCATACACTATTTCCTTATCTCTGTTATCTTATGCTCATCTGGAAAATCCTTCCCCGATCCACTCACTCACCTATCTAGGAACCAGCACTTAAAAACATTTAGTTTCACCATGGTTAGTAATATTAAATATTACATTTGTTCAAATTTATTATGTATATTATTTTATTGTTTGTACAGATTAATGTGTATTCCACTTGCCTATCTCGTGTATTCACATCAGTTATTATTTTATTATTATTACTTTTATCACTATCTATCATTATTAACTACTATCTGTTATATCATATTATATCTCTGATGTTTTGAAAAATTGTGACGTGGCCATTTTTAGAATTTTGTGCCAGCTTGTCCCCAACACTTTTCTTTAACGCTAATTATTTTAGTAAATATGCATCAGAAAAATCTTTTTTCATTTCTATTGTTATAATTTAATCTTGATTGACGAATAAAAATTGAAAATTAATGCAAGTATTCAACTATAGGTAAAAGAGGAACTCTGATAAGCAGAGCGGATTAGGTTCTTAGTTATTTACAGTTCTTATAAGCCAAAAAGTAAACTTTACTAATGTAAAACCAACTTAGTAACATGAGTTAAACGATTGAAATAATACAGGGTTGAATAATAACTATAATCAAGCGAGGTTAAGATATGTATTTACCAAGTCGAAAGGCCCCTTCGATTGTAATGTCACGGATCTATTGTATCTAAAAGGATTTGACAGTAAGCAAACATGGACGGCGCCAATCAAATTACGGGAAAAGTCCTCTCTGGATAAACTGACATCAATCCCTTGTCGATGAGAATTAAAATATCAATATCCAATTGGCCCCGGTTTCTATATCCAAGATGTCTCACAGGGCCAAAAAGAAAATTAATTTTCGCTTCTCTATACGTTTGTTCAATAAATTAAAATAAATGCATAGATTTTCAATTTTTATTCTTCGGAAAATTTTATAACAACACAAACGCAAGAAGCCTCGAATATAAACAAAATAATTATTGTTAAATAAAGGAGACGAGGATGTAACTAGGTCACGAACGTGGAGTCAATGCTAAAAAATGAAATGAAAAT